CTGTACACCAATATTACGAACACAACCAGGCATTTTATAAATAGAACGCAGGCTTATAATCCAACATCAATGTTAATGATTAAGGCAACATGCCTCATTTTCATGAGTAAAAAACTTTCCTGTGAACCCCCACCCCACCTGAAGGGATACAAAAAAAATGATCATACACAAAAAAAAAATGATTGATTTCTGTCATTTTGAGATCATTTTATAAGAGTGAATGCGTATTGCCAACCCCTCCCACCTCCTGCACCAAACGATGTTTTTTTTGTACTGCGAAAATATTGCATTACAATTTTTTTTATTTGAAGGAGCCACAGAATTTTGTAAATTCATGTTTCCAACAGATACACACCTGTCCATCTTATTCTTTCCACTGGCTTTGACAAGATCGTCCTTAATGTATGCTGCTTTACGTTGTATTATAGGTGTACACTAAATAATATAAACTTTTTTCTAATGAACAGCAGAAACAAAAACACATAGCAACACTGAAAAACTGGTTCTATGACTCAATAAATGTTTATTTGCTGTACATAGTGATACTTGCACAACAAATTAAACTATTTAGAGGGCACAGATTAGTTTGTGGGAGATTTTGTTTGCTTGAAAAAATATGGAAGATCATTTAGATACCTGGTGACTCCTACAGATAACTGGAGGGGAGACCAAATTCAATTACAGTTTACAATCATAATTATAATTTGATTTTTTTACTACAAAACCCCAGATTTAACTTACTGAAAACCATGAATTTAGTGCTTGTTAGCGGCCATAGGGTGGTTGGCTTTGCCAAAACTGTAATTCAAACATGGAATCATTAAAAGTAGCAAAAATCTTGGTTACACAGTGCATTTTGGCATTACAGCAATAAAAAAAAAAACAATTTATGATTTGGATAAATTAGTTTGCACTAAACGCATCCACTGGAACTGGCATATTATCCGTTTAAACTAGTAGTATTGGCTCAAAGTAGCATCCGCTCATATTGATTGGCATTCACTGGAGATATGGGACCCCGCCCCCTGAATTATGTCTATATGAAAGATTTCATCATTCACACTGTTTTATACAGTTTTTCTATCAACTGCTGGAAAATCCGTTTGAGGTTGAATTTCTCATCTTCAATTGTTTTTTCTAGTTCACGACTTGCTGCTACTTCTTTCTCAAGAGCCTCAATTTCTGCATACTGATCCATAACTTTTGCCAACTCTTTCTTTGATGAAAATTGCACAAGTTGTAAATTAATGATTGGCACTGCCAGATTCAGGCTATCAACAATTTTGTTAACACGCATAATGTTGTCATCAAATTTGAGGCAAATTTGACGCCATTTATCCTCATTGTATGGAGATAATGGAGCTTTACCCAACTTCTGTCTTTCTTTGAGAAGCTTCTTTCGATTATCTTCAATCATAAAGAAAATATCTTTCCTCTTTGTGACCCAGTCTGGAGCATATCCATTACTGATTAATACTCTATTCATGTTGTGAGTACTGATATCTACATATGGATTGTAGTCACTCCTAGTTGGAAGGGGTTTCCCTTTTCCTGGAAGGTTATCAAATTCTCCATTTTTGTACGACTCTTGATAAAGATCTTCGACCAATCTGTGAATCACGTTTGTTGACTTAATTTTTTTGGCTGCTTTCTTGTCTTTGATCACCATCGCGTCCTCATGAGTTAACACAATTTTTCCAATTCGGCGTTCAGATACGCTGTCCATTGCTCGTACGGCTCTATACTGATGGTATTGCTGTTGACGCTGGCTTGGGGTTCCGATTCCAACCCCTTCGTAGTTGAGATACTGCCTGTGTTGCATAGCAGTATACATATGAGTGAACTCCAACTCCTCTTCCTTATTTAGCTCTTCTTTTCGTTCTTCCTTCTGTATATGCGCACATACTTTATCGTAAGCTTCATGTATTTTTCTAAATTTCTCAATGTTTGCCGAACATGAAGAACTGTCAGGGTGGTACCTCTTTGCCAATTTAATGTATGCAGCCTTTGCATCACACAACTTACAATCGTCTTCTAATTTTAGAAGTTCGTAACATCGTTTGACGTCCTGAAGATGTGTGCATTGGAAAACAATGCCAATATGAAACCATTTACAGGTCTTTACGTCCAAGAGACGATGAAAGTACCTTATTTCTAAAAACTTGAACATGGTAATTTGTCGATGAGTGTTAAATACTATCAGTAGGCATTATTCCATTACCCGCAGTAAGCTAGGCTAAGTCCTTGGAGGGAACGGCAAAAAAAAAAGACGGTCCGTCTTGCTTTGGTGGAATCCCGCCCCCGTGACACTTTCCGGATATTTTTTAACGTAAGCCTAGCCTAGGCCTAGGGCAGGTTAGGCCTATATAAGCTGGAGCTGGACCTAAACCTAGCTGTGCGTAGATAAGACAGGTAATCAAATAACTATCAATCTTTGATTATTGCTTAGCAAGCTACCATGACTAGTGCCCAGGCTAGGCCTAGATAGTAAATCTAAGCAGATCTAAGGTTAGGCAATCCGCCGGATGTTTTTTCTGGTCTGTTGACAATTTAGCGCCCTCGTACTATTAATTATGACGTAATTGCATGCGCATGCGTAAAACGAAGACCCTTCCACATGTCCCTATTTTGTCGACTGCGTGTTCTGTAATTTACGTTTTGAGTTTAATATTCTTAAATTGCACGATGGTGGATACTGAGCAAAGGATAACTCCTAAAATTAAATTAAAACGCAGAAGTATAGAAGGTAAATACGCAAAAGATTTGTTTAAGTCCCTTTTATATTAGGTCTATTCGGTGTTTTATTTGAGCTAGGCCTGGCCCTAGGCTAGACCTAGAGGCCCAGGCTAGTAACTTAGGCCTGGCTTAGGGCTAGCCTAGGCCTAGACTACGCGCATACCGGCTCCAGCACAGCAGGTAGCCATATCACGCATTCGTCCTGGAGATCAGTCAATCAATTAATGGATTTATAAGGCCCCTAATACAGTACCAAATTAATAAAGCTGAACTTTTGGAAACAATGCGCCTGGATAGGCCTAGGCCTGGGCTTACAGATTTTCCAAGTTCCAAGCAGCAACAAGGAGGTATACTTGGTTGGCCCCTAACTAGCGGTACCTACCTAGCTGGCCTACTAGGATAGCTAGGCCTAGGCCCCTATATCTTTTTGTAGTAAATAGTGACTTAAGTTGTGTACTGTATTAATTATTTATATTAATTAATTAATTTAACTTAATTTTTAATTGTTCAATTTCAGAAACACTGTCTACCGGAGGGAAAAAGAGGCGGTCTAATGTAAAAGATAGGAAAAGGGGTAAGAAACGCTCAAATCCAAAATATAATGAGTAGTTTTAATAATATTGTTACGATCTAGTCCTAGCTAGACCATGTGTCATAATATAATAATCGCCATGGCTAGATGTACAGTAAATTTGGGCCAATTTTTTAGGTATCCTCCGCTCAATTAGAAAATTTTACAGTAAGGGACGAACATAGTTGTGTGTAATATATCATCATACGCTGTGGCTAGAGATACAATATTTTTACTTTGCTAAAGGTACGGTAGATGGCGTTACATCACTATTACTCAATGAAGTCCAACATCAAGTACTGTACTGTACAAAAATGCAACAATGCTCTGTAAACTAAGTTTTTTAGGCTTAGAGATTGAAGGAAATTCCCTGGTGCTCCACAGGATTTGAACCCGGAACATGGGATTAGAAAGCACCAACCTACAGCACCACTTCTTATTCTTTGGAGTCATTTTTGAATAGAATAAGAAGTCAGGAAATGTTAATTATTTTGTTTCATCTTCAGAATTGATGGAGCGGCTGAAGAAGAAACAGAAGTTAAAGAAAAAGAAAAGAGGTAATTTATATGAAAAATTAACACTCGTCTTCAAAAAGGAACTATACCTAACATTATAATAATAATACCCAAATGTTTATAAAGCGCCAATTTCAACAAATGGTCAAAAGGCGCTGAGCGTTATTATGCCTACTCAATGGATAACATACAATGGCCAACCTGCGCAAAGTGCAACTTTCTCTTCTCTCCGGAGGGTATTCCTAGTCGTTTGGTACTTGTTTAACGCACAAAACTAGTATATTCAATGCCACAAAATCCTACCAGGTACCCATTTGTACTTGGGTTAGAGATAGACAAACATAGATAAAGTGCTATGCCCAATGACACAAACGACTTGCACAGCGACAGTTTCGAACCCCCGACCTCAAGGCTGGGGGTCTAAGCCACAATTGGTTTTTAGGATGGGTCACCTAGCAATATGATACCCATTATTTCATGTGCAAGACCAACTTTATTTTCCACCATTTTCATTGTCATCATCAAATCATTACAATGTCTTCATTTTTATACCAAGTTTGAATGTCACAGCAAATCACAACTTAGGACTACTCTGGTTTTTTTTTATAATGTTTTTTATTTGCCTTCAACAACAATTAACTCATTTATTACTCACTTGATCTTTTTTTATTGACAGCATCAATGTCAGAGGTTGACCAAATTGAATGTGATATGGAAACAGTTACTGTAGATCTTAAGGAAGAGCAAAGCAAAAAGCAAACAAATTTACATATACATGAAAATATAAATAAAGGAGATGATCATGTACACAGCAGTGATACAGATGATGAAGATGATGATGATAATGCCCGAAGACTAAATGAGGATGAAGATGTCAAGAATGACAATGAGGAGGAATTTGATAAAGAGGATGAAAGAACTGATGTAACGAATGATGAGAAATTAAAAGCAAATGATATAAAGGAAACTCATGCAGAACAACAAGTTATGAAATGTAAGTATTTTTGCTAATATATATTACTAACAGTAGGCCTATTTTATTTTTAAAATTTTAAAATGCTTATTCATTATTTAATCCTTTTGTACATGGTTGCATTAAAAACTAGTTTTATTATCTTAAGAAATTACATTCTCATCATTCTTGCTGATTTGTCAAAATATTGGTGAATATATTTATGAAATTAAATAAATTTATAGTTTGCTTTCATTTTTCACACAGTACCTGGAACAAATACAATATTAACAGATAGCAAATTCAGCTCATTACAAGGCCAGGTCTGCGAGTTGACCTTAAAGGGCATCGCAGATATGGGATTCACACACATGACAGAAATTCAGCATAAATCCATACCACACTTACTGGAAGGAAGGTATGACTGCTAACCTATGTGTATATGTGTATCTGAGTGTGCATTTGAGTGTGTGTAATATGCATATATATATGTACGCATTTAAATGTAGAGCTTCATAGGTGAGTGGAATACCCCAGTGGTTAAGACAGAGGCGCCTCAATCTACAGTATAGCAAAATATATCGATGTTTGTTTGAGCATCACACTTGCCTATGGGTCTGATTGTGGAACACTTCTTCTCAGATATGGATTGTTAACCGTAGGCCAAATGTACACTGTTGGCTCGTGTGCTCTTTACAGAACCAAGTATGCATTCAAGGCGTGTAGGGGGTTACCCCGCTGTATACAGCCCCTGTTGTGGACAGACAAGAGTTTTTGGCAGTGGTTTACCTGGTTTGTTAGACAGGAAATGACCCTCAGTAGAGGAGGAATTTATTGTATGTGCTACTCTATATTACATTACAACTCATATTTGGCTACTTACTTTAAAAAATGTATTGAATTTATAATTCCACTGTGTATGATATGTTACTGTTCTTAGTGTATGCACTTGTTTTCATCTACTGTATCTATAGTAGGCTTTGCTGTCTTCAGTGTTCTTTATTTTAGGCCTTCCCGTTTTTTTTTCTTTGGTTATTATTATTCTCATGATTTGTTTTTTTCAAAAAATCATTAACACTCCATCTATTGTTTGATTTTTTTCTGCAGGGATTTATTAGCTTCAGCAAAGACAGGCAGTGGTAAAACATTAGCATTTCTCATCCCAGCCATTGAACTTATTTATAAACTTAAATTTATGCCAAGAAATGGTAAGTTCATAATTTACCAATCAAAGGGAATTGGGGAAGGGTGAGTTCAGAGTTATAGAACACCAATGTGCATTTGGGTGTGGATGATCATTATAGAGTTGCATGTCTGCTAAAGGAGAGGTGACCTTGGTGTAATATTAGATGAATATATTAAGAAGATCCAACCCACATTAAAGGGACAAAGAGATGATCATGGTGATGTCTGCTAATGTCAGAGTACTGACACTTTATTTTCACTAATGTTAAAATGAAGGGTTCCATAGAATCAATTTTTTCTTCAGAATGTTCGTTTTTTGTAGATAGTGATATTAAAATGCATGTGAATTTTTTAAGGTACCGGTATTATAATTTTATCACCAACACGCGAGTTATCGATGCAAACGTACGGCGTACTGAAAGAACTTCTAGCACACCACTATCATACATTCGGCCTCGTCATGGGCGGTGCCAATCGGAAGATGGAGGCAGAGAAGCTTGGTAAAGGAATCAACATCCTTGTAGCAACTCCTGGCCGACTACTCGATCATTTACAGGTATAAAATGTAGAATGATATGCATACATTTGTATAAAAATATAATGTTGCTTTGATGCCATTCATAAAGATGTATAGGTTATTTTTTCATGCTAATTCTGTATATTTTAAGGACATTGTCTTTGGCACTGACACTGACCAACACACCCATAGCCACACACCCCCATACTTGTATCTCTGTGATGTGAAGCATTAGATGACGATCTGAGCGAGTTTACTTTGTCATGTCTTCTGGTGCACGGCATGTTTTATGTTGTAGCTCTGGGAGCTTGACAGATCTATGCTCAATGCAATGTAGTCACCAATATATATTTATCTGAGAAGGGATGCAATTTCTGAATTTACACAAAAAATACAACTCCCATGTTGCCCTTATCAAAGTAACAGTATTATCACTAGTCGGAATTGACTTTGTTTTGCCAACAGAATACAGCACAATTCATGTACAAGAACCTTCAGTGTTTGATTATTGATGAAGCTGATAGGATTCTGGAAGTTGGATTTGAAGAGGAGATGAAACAGATAATCAAATTGTTACCAAGTATGTTCTCAAACTTGGTTAATTACTTTAATGTGTAAAGTGAAAATAGTATTTGTATAGCTACCAAGAAACATACCTGTGAGTCATATTCAAGATTATGGACGACTATTGTCTGGCGCTCACACTGAGCAACACACCCACAGCCACACACCCCAATACTTGTATCTCTGTGATGTGAAGCATTAGATGACGATCTGAGTGAGTTTAGTTTGTCATGTCTTCTGGTGTACTGCATGTTCTATGTTGTATCTCTGGAAACATGACATGTCTATTCTCAATGCAATGTAGTCACTAATATATATTTTTCTGAGATGTGATACAATTCCCGAATGCCAACAAAAATACAACTGCCATGTTGCCCTTATGAGAGTGTCAGTTCCTTGGTATTAATATCGATTGCGGACTCGCATTGAAATAGAAAACAAAATGTCAAAAATTGTTGATATTATTTTTGGGCTTTCTTATTTTTTATTCTTCTCCATTTCCTTCATACCCTTTACTGCAGTCTCATCCTCCCATATTTACGTTATTGTAATATTGTTTGGTGCAACACCTACCAGTCTACTCTTAAACAAACAAAAAAAAATTTGTATTCTATCTGCTGCACCAACACTAGCCTACTCTGACCCATTATTTAATTCCCTCAAACAAATTGAATTGCAAGATATCAATATACTTCAACAATGCAACTTTCTGTTTTCCTCAACCAAGTCCTTGAATCCCCCACAATTTAGTAACTATTTCGCCAGGATTCTTTTTACCATGATATTATTTTACCAGACCTGGCCTAAATCTGCATATTCCACTGCATAAAAAAACATCTTTTCAGTATAATATCAGATTTAGTGGTCTAAAACTTTACAATAATTTACCCGATAAATGTGACCATGTATTATTAAACATTATTGCACTATTACAGAGAGAAGACAGACCATGTTGTTCTCAGCCACTCAGACAAGAAAGATGGAAGACTTGGCACGTATTTCACTGAAGAAAGAACCAATTTATGTTGGGGTCGACGACTCAAAAAACACAGCAACTGTCGACGGTCTGGAACAGGTAAAAAAAATACAGCGGTATTATTGCCTTTGTAATTTTTGTGTAGAGAAATCAAGAAAGACAGTCTGTATTCTGCCATTGAAATACATAAAAGTGCAGTAGGTGTCCCAGCAATGGGGCTTTTGATTAACATATTTCTACAAAACTATTTATGTTTGAAATATAACAGTATAGTAATAATATAATTATATAAATAAATAATTGCATTATTACTTGATTTCATTTTTGCCAGGGCTTTGTGATATGTCCATCAGAAAAGCGCTTACTCCTGCTGTTCACATTTCTAAAGAAGAATCGCAAGAAGAAAGTGATGGTGTTCTTCTCATCATGCATGTCTGTTAAATTTCACCATGAGTTGTTGAACTACATTGATCTGCCAGTCATGGGGATACATGTAAGTAAATGCTCAATGCAGTCCCCCCCCCCACCCCTCCACTCAGCATACATATCATGTGTCCATCTCCCCTCTTTTATGTGCAGTGGGGTTCCATAAATTTGAAATAGATATGGCCACAGTAGGAAATTTAACAGATGGTTTTGGTAAATAATATCAGTTATTTTCTCATGTTAATGTTTTAAACTCATTGTGTGCACACACAATTACACTGACACTGAGCAACACACCCACAGCTACACACCCCCATACTTGTATCTCTGTGATGTGCAGCATTAGATGACGATCTGAGCGAGTTTAGTTTGTCATGTCTTGTGGTGTACGGCATGTTCTATGTTGTATCTCTGGGAACATGACAGGTCTATGCTCAATGCAATGTAGTCACTAATATATATATTGTTCTGAGAAGGAATACAATTACAGAATTCTCCTGTCTCCTACCTTGTCTATTAACTTAGCCTATTACTTTATTTGATTATGATAGAAAATAAACATGTCATTTTATGACATTTTCTTCTAGGGTAAGCAAAAGCAAATGAAGAGAACACAGACATTTTTTAAGTTTTGTAATGCCACCGAAGGAATTCTCTTGTGTACTGATGTAGCTGCCCGTGGTCTGGACATCCCGCAGGTGGACTGGATCGTCCAGTACGATCCTCCAGATGATCCTAAGGTAAAATCGGTTGTCACTGTCGCTTAGTTTAGCTAGTAATTACAATCAGGATCATTACAATCATGATCATTACAATATAAATTGGCAATTAGACTCTAGGTTTAAGTATTTCACTCACAAATTAACACTTCTCTTGCTATGACTCCTAGAGAGTATTGTATATACCCAAATATGATTTTTCTAATAAATATACTGTATGTTGTGTTTTGTTTTACTTTTAGGAGTATATACACCGAGTTGGCCGTACAGCCCGTGGAATTGATGGTAAAGGTCATGCTCTTTTGATCCTACGGCCAGAGGAACTGGGTTTCCTACGATTCTTGAAACAGTCTAAAGTACCACTCAGTGAATTTGAGTTCTCGTGGAGTAAAATTGCCGATATTCAGTCGCAGGTAAAATAAATTTAGTTTTCAAAAAATTAGTTTTTTTTTACTTGCTATAGATAAAGTTAAGCTTCTGTGTTTATTAAAGGTAACAGTAAATATATTTTTTACAGCTGGAGAAGCTTATGGAGAAGAACTACTTTTTACACAAATCATCTGTGGAGGCATACAAAGGTTATGTACGTGCATACGACTCTCACAGTCTGAAGCAAATATTTAATATTAATACACTGGATTTGCAGAAAGTCTCTAAATCATTTGGCCTGAAGATTCCACCTAGTGTCGATATTGGTATCCTTTTATTTGTTGTTCTGTCGATATTTTGTGGATTACAAGTATAATCTATACTGTTCATGTTTTATGTACATTTGAATGTCAATATGCTGTATACATATAGATTCTCACAACTTGCTTAACACGTGGAACACCTGTATTCATATGACCATATTTTAATAATAATCATAATAATAGATGATTTACAAAGCGCAAATAAACAAGGTTTCTAAGCACTAGGTTCAAGTAAACAAAAATCAATAGTATTTTATTATTATTACTCCTACTAATCATTATTACTATTATTTTGTTACTATTACTACTACTATTATTAGTGAAATACTATATATTATATTATTTTTATGTTATATTCCTTAAGTACCCTCCTCATTAGGTGTGTATTCAAGTAGGCGTAATCAGAAGGCCGCTAGACGTCCAGGCTTCAACTTTGCTGCCCTTGGTCAAAAACAAGCAAAAAAGATGAAGATTTACAAACACGTGGAAAGGAAAGATAAACGCCAATTCTCCAGATAAGCAGATTTTGAGAGAATTTCCAAATTTTACCGTGGACAGGTGACACCACCAAATCTGAATAATTGTTATATCATATAAGCACCACCATGGCCTCTGAAGCCAGTGTTGTTGCCAGGATATTCCTTAAATTTTGGCACCAGTATTTCTGCAGAAGGAATGAGGTGATTGCCAGAAAAGACACATTAATTACTAGAGAATATGACGTTCCTGTTAGAAAACTTTGCTGAGGAAATACTTCTCTGATGATTTCACTACTGTATTTTCTGCCAACAGCATGTAAAAACCAACTCGGATAGCGTTGTGCGCCATAGCGCGAAGCAATTGATAGTTGGAGACAGTTTTTAGGTTGTTGTGAGAATAATTAACATGTTTAATATTCTACGCCATGGCTGTTTTGACAGAGACCCATTGTGTCTGCGTTTAACTTGCATACAGACCTGACGCGACAAGAAAACATGTCGGGCTGGGTTATATAACACTGTCTGAATTGGCCTTAATTGAGCAGACTTAATCCTTTGCATATCACTTTTCTGGGAATGTTTTAACAGTTTAATTTGGGATAAATCTTTGGGGAAACATCATCATGTACGTTTCATGGGCGACATGATGCATTGAAGCAGACTGTCTAGTTCACTCATCATCTGGGAACACAGTTGTTGTAGGGGAATGTTCTTTGTTTAGGTGACTACCTATTTGTGGTTGAAGTTAATAAACTGTAACCAGGAACCAAGTCTGCACTGTTTTATTTTTTTCCTCCCCAGCAATAATGATTAAGCATCCCAGAAGGAAGTCTTGGACCCCTATATGTGCCTCCACTGCCTGAAGTCAATCTGTAATAATGATAATAATAATAAGGCTTAGAAAGCTCACATATCCACTGTAGTAGTGCTCAAGGTGCAAAAGAAGGAAGAAATCTTGACCTGCCTTTGATAATTTCTAAGGGCTTTACATAATTTTATTGTTGTAAAGTGCAGTTTTTTGAGGCTCAGTTCAATAATAAAACTTTTATTTGTTGCTTATATTTGTGTTTCTTTGTGATTTTAACTTTAGTTAATGTTGGTTCTTTTATCAGCATACTGTATTCTATGAAAGAAATAATAATTTGCTGTATATATATATATATATATATATATATATGAATGTTTCCCACAAGAACATGAGCACAGAAAGCTATTCGACAGAAACACCTTGAAACACAGCCAAATCTGCATGCCGAATATGAATAGTGTCATAACCTCACACAACAAATCTATATTATCTAACGAACTACAAAAAAAAAAGAACCCTGTAATCGATAATAAATGTAACTTCTGCCAAAAGACCAAATACCTCACTGAAGGGATCGTCTATCAAGCTACCGTAACAAGTATTGACAAGAGAAGAAACTTGCATCGGACTTGGAATGTGAAAGATAAGGAAAGGACAAGAAAAGTAAAGATCAGGAACATTTGAAGGGAAAGGAAGAAAGACAAGATGCAAAAGGGAAAGAAAAATGAAAGGCTTTGGAATGAATAGGAAAGTAACAGGCCTTGAAATGATTTCAATTACCAAAGCATTGTAATAATAACATTTATTGATAATCATCAAACCAATCATTTGAACTTACTTAAACTAAACTAAAACCAAATATTTGATGATAATGTTTTTGGTACATTTGCATTTGCTTTGGTTTTTTCTTTTTTGTTGTTGTTAAGCACCTCGCGGTTGTGTCAACGTGAGGCGCTATATAAATCCAGAACTGTTTATTATTACTTGACCCAAAATAAATTTAAAACTAAATATGGAAAATTATAAAACAATGCTAGCCGTATTATAATACTGTACTGCAAAACGATGCATTCTATGAGAAGTTTATATTAATTATATGTCATCCTGAGTTAATTTCTCTCAACTGCAGAAATGAAATAATAGCCACTTGTAGGCACAGGAGGAAATTCATGCTAGGAAACCAATGATAAACCATAGATAAAAAACCTACCATCTAGACAATAGGCCACCCATACGAAACAATGTTGCAGTGGAAATAATATGAAGTTATCAAAAGTTGCCTTCTCAGGCACGAAATATTCGTGCCTAATAAATTTATGTTCCTATAATACGTCAACTGTGTATGATTTTTATCGTATCAATGCCTATATTTACATATGTTTCGC